CAAAAAAAAAAACAACCAATACCACAAGCTACGGGAAGGGGCATAGACTGTTTTATCCCACAGCTACAGGTGAATCAAAACTTACCCAACACAACTTCACATTGCAGTGTCTGACAGACAAACTGTTAGCCTAAGGAACCGGTGGTTAAAGTCATTTACGTTAGGCCTCAACGTCACAGACACTCTCCACGCTATCATTTGTGTCTCGACACAGTGAAATCAGGCGCTCGTTAATTTTTCGACAATAAATAGTTATTGGTATAATTCTAAAGCGTGTCTACTTGCCTTGCTTTTTCGTGAAAAAAGACCCATCTACCTAGAACAGAAATCGTGATATTTACGATTGAAGGAGGTAGGAGCGCCTAGTGTCAGAGGTAAAAATTAGCGAGAAAATGGGAGCCAAAATTTGGTGGCTTCTAAAGCTTGGGTGTCCGTAATAACTACACATTTTCTTCTTTTTTTTTCTTTTTTTTTTTCTTTGTGTATGCCTTTCATCAACATTTCTCAATAAGATGCACACAAAAGTTTGTTCATAAATGGCATTTAAGATGATAAGCCACAATAAATTAATTAATTAATATGCCCAACAGGCGAAACGATGTCGGTTCCTTCAACTTCAAGATTTTGGCGAGCATATGATTTCACCACGATGCCACACATTTAAGAAAACGAGATACGGTTACAGTAACAAAGAATGAAACAAGACACCCGATGATGCAATAGTAGGGCCACCGATTCGCACTTTGTGGGTATAAAATTAGCATTTCGCTGAGCCAGCGAAGACTCGAGTCTGCGTTAGGAAGGCTTTGTTGTTGCTCAATTCTATCATCAACAGCTGGAACGCTATGACACGCAATAGTTAAAGAAAAGACACAAGTGTAGCCAAATCGGCTGTTGATTGTATTGATTGGATGGCCACAGTCCTCCAGGAACAGCGAAGACCCGAGTCTGCCATCGGTAGGAAGAAGGAAGGCTTTGTTCCTTCTAGGAACATGCTAGCTTGAGTTTGGTTTGAGTTGGGGGTCTTTTTGGGTGGGGGGGCACTTTTGGATTGATTGTATGAGGACACGGCCCATTGATGCATCGTGCTTCCTCCTCCTCCTCCTCCTCCTCCTCCTCCTCCCCCTCCCCCTCCCCTTGAACATACACACATACACGCACACACTCATGCTCACACATGCACATATGTGTGCGCACGCATACACACACATACGCGCGCACGCACAGACACGCACACACATGTGCGTACACCCACGCACACACGCACACATATGCGCACACCCACGCACGCACACGCACACACACGCACGCACGCACACACACATGTACGCGCACGCATACGCACACACACACACACACACAGACACACACACACACACACACACACACACACACACACACCACATACCCCACATACAAGTGG